ACTCCAGTGCCTGTGTGTCTGGCTTTGTGTGGGTCAGGCTTCCAGTGATGAGTTCTGGGTGGGCACTTTCCCATCATCCGCCACGGAGGTCAGCCCAGGACCACCCAGGCGGGCCAGACCTGTGAGCCCCACTTCTCTTCAAAGACACTTTCTTTAAAACAAGTGTTTTTTTTTATAGCAGCTGACAAATCGCCAAGCTGACAATGTAAAGTGCAGTCTATGGGCTGGAGTTGTGGCTCAGGGGCAGAGCAATTGCCTAGCATGTGTGAGGCACTGGGTTTGATTTTCAGCATGGCATACAAAATAAATGAATGAAATAAAGGTCCATCAACAACTAAAAATATATAAAACAAAATATAAAAAAACCAAAAAACCAAAAAACCCAAAATCTAAATTAGTAAGACCACATCCCAGGTGAGTGGAGTCTCGATCTTTATGACCTACACGCCCTCCTGGTGTACCCATAGGCTCTGGAGTGGGGGACACTCTTCCCCTGTGCGAAGGAGACAACAATACCAGGGAAATGAATTTGCAGATATGGAGCAGATACTTGACAGTTAGCAGACCTAAAGAGAAAACCAACCTTTCATTACTGAAGTTCTGTTTCCAAGAAGGAATAACGTTGCCCAGTGTGGGGCACACCCCTGTGATCCCAGCTACTTGGAAGGCTGAGGCAGGAGGATTGTAAATTGAGGCCAGCCTCAGCAACTTAGGGAGACCCTGTCTCAAAGTAAAGTTTTTAAGAGGGCTGAGGATACAGCTCAGTATAAAACACCCCAGGGCCCCCAGAGCACGCGCGCGCACACACACACACACACACAGCTTCCTACATCCCTTATCATTTTTACCACTCATCACACAGCCTGTTTTTTCAGGATCTCTGGAAACCATCTAAATTTTAAGTTGTTTTCAAACACCAACCAAAACCTCTGGGCCTGCGTGTGGGTCCCAAGAGGTACCTCCCTATGGTCAGCTGGTAACCTCCAACACCATTCCCCACCACCCCAACCACACACCCCACCTCAGGTGGGATCACCCATGCCCCCAGCCAAGGTGCCCAGGCGGGACACAAAAATCTCGGTGTGACAGTGAACAGACTCATGGTGGCCCACAAAGTAAGGACACGCTCAGTGCAGATGGCCACCAGAGCCTGAGAGGGACCTGCCCTGGCGGGCCCAGCCTCTGTCCTCAGAGCTGCCATCATGGCACAGAGACACATCAGCAGGGAGCTGCGGCGGCCTGAAGGCGGTCTGCACCGGTCACAGGGAAGGCTGTCCGCCAGGCTGAGGGGACGCGCCTTTCCCAGGGACAGCTGCCCACCCTGCCTGACAGCACTCTGGCTACTCCAGGACCCCCCTGAGCCACCTGCTGTTGCGCAAAGGGGAGCCCCAGCTCTGAGTAAGGAGGTGATGTCGACCGCATGCGTGAAGGCAGATGGCACTTTCTGAAGAGGAGCATCTGGTGATGCCCATCAGCACTGAGGGGTGCGTGGGCAGAGGCCTGCACAACACCCGGCTGGCCGGGCCCTCAGGTCCCTCCGGGGAGTCAGGCAGACCTCTTGGACTCCACCTCCACATGCCCCTGTGCCCCTCCTCTGTCCCCCAACTCCACAAGCCACATGGTCAGGTGGCCTGGAGGCTGGAGGTGTGCCCACCCCTGCCAGGCTGCCCCTCCCTGACTGGGCTTCACAGCCGTGTCCCTAACTGCCCCACATATCAAAGCTGCACATGAGTGGGCACAGGGACCCGCACACCAGGCACCCAGCCCCACTCAGGGCTCAGGGCACTGGAGGCCCGTCCTGCCTGGGAGCCATGGTGCACAGCTGAGCGTCTGTCCCGCAGGGACCCTGAGCAGACTCCACAGGCATTCCCAGCGCCCCAGACCACAGTGCTGGCGCCCCAGTGCGGCCCTCCAGGTGGGGCAAGGCTACCCAGCCTGTGGGAGGAATGCCGGGTACTGGCGGCGGCTCCTCAGGACCCGAGAGGGAACCCCGGGAGCCAGGTCTAGACAGCTCTGCTCAGACCCACGTCCAGGTCAACAGAGATGCCAACCTAGAGCCAGAGGCCCACGAGCTACTGACCGGTGGTGTGAGAAAGGTGGGCAACACTTCTGCAGCTGATACCCCCTCTCACTCACCTGGTCCCCGTCCAGCAGCTACAAAGACAACCTGTCACCGGCCACCTGGAAAGGAAGGCTGTCATTAATTCCCAACAGACAGACGCGTGGAAGAAGAGCCGTTACCAGAGCACCAGCACCCAAAGCCACCCTGCGGGGATGACCTGCGCAGCAGGACCAAGAGCAGCAGGGGACCTGCAGATCCAGGCGGTGGCTCCAGGCTTCCCCTGTGGCTAGGGACACGAAGGAGCACGTCCACCCACCAGACCTCTGGGGCCAAGGCAGATGGTCAGGAACGGTGACCCCATGCAGGAAGGCCCCCGGAGATGGCCTTGCTCTCGGCCGTGGGAATCCGAGTTCTCAACCTCCTGCATGTGAATCAAATGTTTTTGGGGGAAGAAATCCTCAGAACAGGGTCACAGAGACAGGTCTCGCAGGGTTGCCTGGCTGGTCCTGACCGTGGGACCCCTGACAGGTCCTCCCACCCAGGCGCCCAAGTGACTCAAGAAACACTTTAAATCCAACAGTTCTGCTTCCTGTGTCCCCGGGGAGTGGAGCGGTCCTAGTGATAGCTAACGCTGGGTTCACCTCCAAGGACGCACGAGCTGAAAGGGGCCGAGGGAGGAGGAAGGCTACGTCCCAGCGCCTGAGGCACCAGGCTTGGGCCTCAACGGCGCCCGCCCTGGCCTGCTCCTGGCCACCTGGCACTGCCTGGAGGCTCACCTGGGATGGAGGGGCAGCGTCAGCCGCTTGGCTCGGGATGCAGGATCACCAGAGACCAGAGTTCCAGGAGCACCATGCAGGTCCCCAGAGTGCATGGCTGGCCAGGGACAGTGCCAGGGTCTTCATGCAGGGCCAGTGTGGGCATTTTCCTCAGCTGGGCAAACCCAGCAGCAGGGGTCTCGTTGGTGACTCATCTGAGCTCGGGGTCAGCCTCCCAGGAGCAAACCAATTTCAACAGAGGGTTTCATCACAGAAAGTCGCAGCACAGGACCTCGGGCCTCCAAGGCTGATCTGACAGGGGCTTCCAGGCAGATGCTGCGGCTCCTCCACAGGGCAGGACGCCCCACAGGGCAAGGGCCCAGCACCATCCAGACTCGAGCTCGGGCCCTGGACGCCTTGTTTAAACAGCTGAAGGAAGCGTTCTCTAAGCCAAAACGGAGGTTCTGCCTCTGCCCTCCAGATGCTCCTGCCCACAGCCCAGGGCGAGCCATAGCCCAGTTCCAGTGCCACAGCCATGAGCCCCCAGGAGCCTGGCGGCCTCCTGCAGGGAGGCAGGACCATGTCACATGCAGCTCTGTGGGTGTCACTGGCCGAAGCTCCCGGTGCTCCAAAGGACGCCTGTGCTCTCGTGTCACCATGGGAAGGGACGATGCCACACCCTCCTGTACCCGGCGGCTGGTGTTCACGTGAGATCCAAGCTACCACGTTCCGGCGCCTTCTCCAGGCCCACGGAGGCAACGCGCTGGCCGAGGACCTGCGTGGGTTGTTTGTACACAGCGGCCACTTGGCACAGCTCATGGCTCCTTTTCAGGGAACAATGACCGTAACAGGTAGGCCATTGAGTCAGGCTGCTCACATGCAGAAGTCCTCATACCAGGCCAACACCCCCGCCTGCTGCCCGTCTGGTCAGTCCTATGAAACAAGGACACTAACTCAGCTTCTCTAGAACGCTCCAGGACCACCCAGACAGGACCGCTGGCGGTCTACGCTTTGCACACAGCCCACTCACTGCATGTTCTCCTCACTGACCAGTCCACACTCGGTCCACTGCGCACTCCGTCTGCCTGCTCGGTGCCCGTGGACGTCGTTCTGTGGCAGATCCCAGCACCTATGTAAATGGCTCCATCTCCATTTCTCAGCAGCGTGTCCAAGACCAGAGCCCAGTGGCCACACACTGCCCCGCCCCACCCTCCAGACCCGACAGGTGCACAGGAATAAAGAGGACACGGGCGTTCCTTCCAGGCAGCATTTATTAGCCATAGCGATACACAGCCCTTACACCAACACAAACTCTCAGGATATTTCAGTCCTCATGAAAACAAAGTTGTAAAAATACTGTCTTTAAAAACAGTGAAAATAAAACAAAGATACATGTTCCAAAGCCCCACAAACGACCGGCACCCTCCTTTATTTCACTCAGGGGACTCGGCACCAGGTGAGGACGCGGCTCCACACACACACGCCCGCCCGCCCTGCGCAGCACCTGCTGCCTGGGGTGTGCCCCCGCCCCGTGTTGGACAGGCCCTTGTTCACTCCACCCCTGGCAGAGCCTCCTGGCACGGCACTGCCTGGGGCCGCGTGCGCTGCCAGTCTTGGGGCTGCTGCTGCAGGCTGTGTTAGCTGCTCAGGTAACACCTCCTGCCCACCAGGGACAGGCACCAGGGGCCTCTGCAAGGTGCGGCCGTACCTCCTGCCACGCGTGGTCTCACCTCCCACCACAGCGCTGAGGGAGGACACAGCACCCAGCTTCTTCCCACACTCACTGCCACGGCATCATCTAACAAGAACGAGCACGCGGGTGGCCTGCTGTCCTCCTCGGCAGCCGCAGCTCGGCTGCACACCTCCCCCACTGGGCCCAGCGCCCAGCAGAGGGCGCCTGGTGCTCCACAGAAACCCGAGCCTTCCAGGCCTGCAGCGTGAACAGCAAACACCTCCCTGGCTCTCCTGCTGCCTGACCACACAAGGGCCCCAGGGGACCCCAAGGCCAGTTCGGGCTTTGTGCAGCCTCCCAAGATGCCTAGAGGGACGGCAGCAGCCACAGCCCTCAGCCACTGGGTGATGGGCAGCCCCACCCTTGTCCTCCATGCTCTCTGGGTCTGACCCTCGTGATGGGATGATGGACGCGGAAGCAAGCACAGCAACAGGCCAGGGACTGGACTTACGAGACAGCGAGTGGGCACCCTTAGGCAGGTACTCGAACAGCAGGGAGCCGTCGTCCCCCAGCACGTCGGCCTTCAGAGACAGCAGGCTGCTCTGACTCATGAGTGCCGCCCGCAGACCGGCCACCGCACTGGCCTGGTGCAGCACCTCATCCTTCTCAGGAGTCAGGGGTGGGCCCAGGCAGCTGGCCTCTCCCAGGAGGCTCTCGTCCACATGCGTGTACAGCTCGGCCCTCTCCCCTCGGCTGTCGGAGCTGCTGGCCTCAGTGACAGTCAGGTCTGCACCTGTGGGTGGGAGGAGGACACGTCAGAGGACATGGCAATCTTCAAGACTCTCCTAGTGGACAACGCGGCCAGTCTAGGGGAGGGCCACAACCTGCTGCTGACCATGGCTTGTGAGATGTGGACCCAGTCCCGATGACCAGGACACCTGCCAGGGCTCTGTAGTGGCCTAGTGCTCCATCCCGCCCCACCCTGCCACCCCGACCTGCTGTGCCCTGGCAGCTCCTCACCGTCACAGCCCAGGCTTCAGGCCACAGCCCTGCTCAGAGACCCACCCTGGACGAGGACTCAGACCCAGGCAGAATGCCCGGAGCTACAGGACTCCACCTCAAAGAAGAGGAGATATCAGCACCAGCATCCAGCCTGGATATCGGAGCTGCAGCCACAACGCTCAGGAGAAATCCAGGGAGCTTGGGCTTGGTGAGGGTTCTGAGGTCCACACCTGTGTGCCACGGCCCCTGCCCTGCCCTTCAGAGGCACAAGCAGCAAAAACATACACTAGATTTCATCAAAATCAAAACCTCCTATGTCCCATGTCTGCTCTCAGGAAAGTGAGAAGACAACCAACCCATCAAATGGGGAGAAAATATTTCCAAGCCATGTTCTGACAAGAAATCCTACCCAGACTGCATAAAGGACTCTCGCGATTCAAAAGACAAACACCAGGGCACTAGGTCTGACCAGACACGTATCCAAAGACATCAAATGCCCATCACAGCCAGGTACAGCGTCATACCCCTGAGGTGTGGGCCCCAAAACCCAGAACGTGAGGAGTGCCAGCGAGGGCGTGGGCCAGAAGCCCTGTGCACCTGGTAAGACTGCAGACGACCCACACAGTGGCCACTCTGGCATCCCAGGGACTAGGCGGGGCAGGAGGACGGCCAGCACGAGGCCAGCTTTGGCAGCTCATCCAGACCCATCTCAAAATGAATTATTAAAAGGGCTGGGGTATGGCTCAGTGATAGTGCACCTAGGTTCAGTCCCCAGTACCCACAGGGAGGGAGGGAGGCCAAAGCGGGGCAAGTGTCCCTAATGGCCATGTCAAAACCTAACAAACTGGGGCTGGGCTGCGGCTCATGGCAGAGCGCTACCTGCTACCTGTCGTCCTGGGTCCCTCCCGTCCCAGTGCAGACATATATGACCAAAGAACCAGCTGACGAATGGGCCCAGGATGACGGCTTGGAGCCTGCACTAGGCACTGTCCCACGTCCAGTGAAATCTTCCAGCAGCTCCGCCTGCTGCCCGCCTTGCCAGGCCACTCTGCACACGAGTCCCCACAGCACCACAGGTGCCTCCCAGATGAGGGCCAAGGGCAGCCGAGGTGGCCCACCCTAGGGCCCTGAGAACCGCTGACTCAGAAATGCAGCGTGTACTGGTAGCGTGGGTGCTGCCACCACACATGTGCCGCATGTGGCACACGAGTCACACACACACACACACACACACACACAC